GAACAGATTGCAGTGGGCAAGCGTTGGAGGCGGAAGGTTTTGCGTTGATTGGGGGTGCCCGTTTGCATCCTCAGAAAGGTTTAATTATCGGACTCAAAAGGACTTCCCATATGGGATGCATGATGCCATCTGTTGAGGGCGCGCGAGAGAACAGATTGCTGTGGGTGAGCGTTGAATTGCTAGGGTTGCCGGACTCAAAAGATGCCATCTGTTGAGGGCAGGAGAGAGAGAGAACAGATTGCAGCGGGCAAGCGTAAAGGTTTAGTTATCGGACTCACACGGATTTCCAAGATGGGGTGCATGATGCCATCTGTGGAGGGCGTGCAAGAGAACAGATCTGTTGAATCCCATGTTCTCCACTATATATAGGTCTATTATCCAAGACTTTCTTTACTTTGATTAAACCCACGGGAACTATCAACCAGCCCATTTTGGCCCTCAAGCCGCGCTGACTTCAAACTTTCCCGTGACAACAGGGGCACCCTTTTTCACCCCCACATCGTCTCTAGATGAAGAGGAAAAAGGGTACCCTCTGCCAAACCTCACCACTTCCAGCTACTCCTTGTCCACATACCTGTTTAAATATAAGTATCCTCACGAAAGCCTGCCGCTAGCCTCGGCCATGGGCTCCCCCGACCCATTTTTGCGCATTGATTGCAAACACGCAGCCCCTCACCTCCTTAGGGGTGCCCTTTTTCACCTCCAAAACGTCCCTCCACCAACACGAAAAAGGGCACCCCGCAAACCTATGTATTCTACTTTCTCTTTCTACCCCTATCTGGGTGGCCGCAATATCAACTTCACTACATAAAGGTACGCTTTGCTCACGTTCACCAATCACTTCGTCTTGCACGCTCAAGTCAAGTGGCTGCAATATCAACTTCACCACTTCCGGCTACTCTTCCTCCACTCTACCTATATACATATATGTCTCCTCCCAAAAGCCTGCCGATAACCTCGCCCCTCGACCCCACAACCATCTTTGCTCTCTGATCGGCGCCGCGCAGCGAGCAACCGCCTCTCACTTCCTTCGGGGTGCCCTTTTTCACCTCCAAAACAGCCCTCCACCGATACGAAACAGGGCACTCCCCTCAAACCTATGTACTCAACTTTCTCTCTCTACCCCTGTCAGAGTGGCTGCGATGTCAACTTCACTACACAAAGGTACTCTTTGCCCGATGTTGGCCAATCACTTCATCTTTCGCGCTCAAGTGGCTGCAACATCACCTTCACTGCGTCCTCCCGAAAGCCTGCAGATAAACCTCACCCATGGCCCGCCAAAGCCATCTTTGCTCACTCACGTAGCAGGCCAGCGCCCCTCCCTTCCTTACGGATGCCCTTTTTCATGTCGAAAAAGGCAGCTCCCCCCCAACCTATATATTCTGCTTTCGATTTCTTCCCCCTATCGGCGTGCCTGGGAGCGCCAGGCTGACCCTAAGGGCACCCCCCTTGACGCAAAGGCTGGCTTTCGTCCCCTCCCTTCTCCGACAAAAAAGTGTGTATACATATATAAATACATATGTGTGTATGTATGTGTGTGTTATATATTTATATATACATATGAGGAATATACTGTACTCGGTTGCGGGTTCTTACTATTATTGAAAAGCGACCAATCTAAATGGGTGGGTTGACTTTGCAAGTTCGACATAATGTGTGCTGCAGGGGCTGCCGGGCAGGACCCTGGCACTTGCACACGGTGGCTCTCTGAGCTGTAGGTAGGTGTTGAATGGTGGTGGCAGTGGTGGTGGTGGTGGTGGTGGCATGTGGGTATGGACCTGGCTTCTGCCGAGGCCCTGCCAGCGCGCCAGCCTCAATACAACTTCCAGAAGCTTGAAGAGAGTCAGCCATGTCGGCACAGGCATTTGTCGGTCCGGCCCGTCCATTGTACATCAAGCTCCCTCCAAGAGTAATAGGCGCAAAGGGCGTTGTCAGTCACAGGTGGTTGTCGTTTCCGACTTCGAGGGTGTTGTTGATTGCTTTGCCGAAGGCTACTCAGTTACAATTCGACCACGGTCGAACCATTGAGCTGCGCAACTGAAGTGGGGCCTTCGGCAAATTCATTCTAAGAATTGCAAAACTCGAAGTTCTTTAACCTGACCTGGCGGCCGGGCCTAATCGCTACTAGGGTGCAGACCACCATCGCTCTTAGGTTGGAGGCCACCGCTATTAGAAACAAAGAAAAGGGAAAGGAAGAAAGGTCTTGGGTGCCAGGCCAGACGCTCCTTTGCAGTGCAAAAAATTCGCGTTGCTTTCAATTCGTTGAGCAGCTGAAACAGCCCTGCAGGCACGCACTCAAAATACATTTGCTGGCGCGCTGCATCCGGTCTTGCACGTCTAGACTAGACTTGCGGTTCTCAGCGTTTTGGGCTTGTGGTAAGCAGGTTGCATGAAGTGCAGGTTCCACCTGGTCACACATTGTCACATAGGTGCATATATATATATACTGTATATATTTTTACTGTATATATATATATACATATGTATGTGTACAGAGTTTGCTTTTTGAGAGGCAAAATTGCCCACACCTACGTTCAGGTTTCAACTGACTGCTTCGGCCCTCTTGAAGGTTCCAAGACAAGTTGCCAAGATTCTTTGTCGCACGGCAATCGCCGCAGCTCATGCGGAGTTCTACAAGTTTTGTGGTAGGATGTCACGCGTGTGATTGCTCGGAAGCATTGATGATTGCTACAACAAGCATTCGCTCTGGAACACCTGAGAAAACCCTAAGCCAATACGCCGCAAACATAAACTAAGGACAAAATATCAGCAAGTCTTCAAGTTGCAAAGCCAGTTTCATGAAGAGTGCGGACAAGGAGCATCCCAAGACCCAAAGACTTACACCCTGTGGCCCAAGTAAGCGACACTTGCTTGGTCTTGTTTCATAAGGTGGTGCACAACGGCCACAACAGAATCGTGTTGCCGCTGCGCTTCGTCATTTCTCAAGATTGATGATGCTTAGGTGCGACAAATTGCAATCAGACAGCTCTTGCACTGGAGCAGTGCTAAAAGAGTTTGAGTGGGTTTGCCATCGCAATGGGTTTGCCATCGCATGCCGCTAAGTGTTGTGCATGTGCAGAGGGGGTGGCACGAACCAAAGTGTGGCATTGGCATTGAACGAACAGCTCAATGTGCAGCAATGACCACAACAACTCATTTGAACATTGTAATGTTGGCCATGATGCACCCATGGGCGCCATTGTGGCAAGGCACAACTCCGAAAGCTAGGAGAACGTGTGTGAATGATGGCCTCGAGTCCCGAAAGGCTTTACTGGTAATTTTGACATGACTAAACTGACTAAACGAGCAGATGCTGCCAGAGCTCACTCAGAAGACCTTTTCACACGCTCGCCGCGTCGCCGCTCATCCGCAGCATTTACACTCAAGTTTCCTTCCGCTTACTACTTCATCACATTATCTGCGACGCAACGTAGCTCGGTGTCCATATACCGTGCCTCGGTGAAAAGACTTCGATGTATGACCTTTGGAATAACTTTCCCCTCCAAGAAGCATTTGGACCAAGAGCACTTTTGGACAGCACTATCTTGCTGTGACTGGCACGGGCCACACGTCTCAAGTCCCCAGGTCGTTGACTTCGAGTTTTCAAGTCTCCGCCTTCCATATTGAATTTCTACAGCATCTTGGCCAAATTCAACACTACGTGACTGCACTGAATCAGACCCCAAGGTGAAGCAATGAATCTCAAACGCTTCATCGCAATTTTGGCTGCTTTAGCCTTGTCCTGAGTCTTTGGGCGGAAAAAAACGTGCAGAACCTTTCGAATTTTGGTCTTGAACCGTTCGCCCTGTGAGGACCAGCTCCAGCAGGTCTTCGCGAAAGAAGCTCAAAACTGCAAAGTTGCAGCATTCGACCTTTTGGCAAGTGCACAGGAGGCGAAGATGGAAACAGCACCATCTATACTCCACAGAAACGAAGATCGAGAACTAAGACGATATTGGTGAATCTAGGGCCCTTAGGGGACTAGGAAAACATACATTTTCACCGTTTGTCACCTAACTGCACAGACATGCAGTGTACACACTAGAAAGCAGAAAGTGTGTCTTCACACTCCTGCGGAATATGCCTAGAGCATAGGCCGATGGGCTGTGCTTTGTTTGAGCACGCGTGTCACTACGGCCCCTGATGAACAATGATGAACAGGCGACAAGACCGAGAGAACAATTCACCAGTCGTATTTGATAGTTGGTGTTAGCTGGGCAAATATTGGCCTTCGTAGTTCACCAAAGCCCTTCCAAGTGTTCAGAGACGGTGAGCAAAGACATACAACATCATACAGCCACCTTTGACCACCGAATAAATCGTGTGGGGGCCAGATAATCAGGGAAAGGCACCTTTTATGTACCGAACTGGTTTCGGTGAGCAGCACCGACCATTTGGTTTGCAATTGTTCTCGCACATTCTTTGTTTCGGCACAAGTTCGCGACCATGCCACTGATCCGTTTCACTTCGTTTCAACTCTGCTTTGAATACCTTTCTCTGGTTGTCCCCTCTTGCTTGTCTTCTATGGGCGGCTTGTCCTTCCGTTTGAGTTTCTAGGTTGCTCTATGCCTTTGTTCTTTTTGTGGTAATCCTGGGCTTGTTTCCACTATTCTCTTAGGCTGTTTCACGGACCAGCACGTGCACCTTACCTCAGCCGCACCCTGTAGTTCAGCAGGTGTCAGGTGAAACGGCTGCGTCCAAGTAGCTTGGTTTCTCAGTCCCTGGGCATCTCTAAACCAACATTCAGAGAAGCATTTTGCTCTGTCAGGTAGCTCTTCTTATAGCTGCCTTCACTGTCGGGTGGCACTTGAGCTTCTGAGGCAAATTCAGCCATTTCACAATCGAGCTCTAGAATGGTAACAGCCGAGTGCCAGCTGAGTTTACAGATGTGGCACCCAAGGATTGGGCCTTGTTTGGGGTTCCTTCGGCGAGGCAAACTGGTGAGAAACAGGGAAGTGCAGGACCCGTATGTGAGGGCCTTGTATGCTTTGCATTGCTTTGCTGTATTGGATTGGAGACCATTGCTATTAGGTTGGAGGCCCTCATCCCTATTCGGTTGGAGGCCATCGCTAGTCGGTTGAAGGCCGTCGCTATTGGATTGGAGACCATCGCTATTAGGTTGGAGTTTGAGGCCATCGTCCCTATAAGGTTGGGGGCCATCGCTAGTAGGTTGGAGGCCGTCGCTATTAGGTTGGAGGCCATCCCTATTAGGTTGGAGGCTGTCGCTGGTAGGTTGGAGGCCATCGCTGGTAGACTGGACGCCATTGCTGGTAGGTTAGAGGCATCGCTATAAGGTTGGAGGCCATCGCTATTCGGTTGGAGGCCACCGCTGTTCAGTTGGAGGCCGTCGCTGGCCATCGCTATTAGGTTGGAGGCTATCGCTATTCGGTTGGAGGCCGTTGCTATTGGGTTGGAGGCCATCGCTAGTAGGTTGGAGGCCATCGCTGTTCGGTTGAAGGCCCTCATCCCTATTAGGTTGGGGGCCATCGCTATTGGGTTGGAGGCCATTGCTGGAGGCCATCAGTAGTAGATTGGAGGCCATCGCTAGTAGATTTGATGCCATTGCTAGTACAGTAGGTTGGAGGCCGCCGCTAGTAGGTTGGAGGCCGCCGCTAGTAGGTTGGAGGCCATCGCTAGTAGGTTGGAACATATCGCTAGTGGATTGGAGGCCATCGCTAGTAGGTTGGAGGCCATCAAAGCAGATTGGAGGCCATCGCTAGTAGATTGGAGGCCATCGCAAAAGTAGGTTGGAGGCATCGCTAGTAGGTTGGAGGCCAGCGCTATTAGGTTGGAGGCCATCGCTAGTAGGTTGGAGGCTGTAAATATGGCAGCGGAGGCCCAACCAACTCAACTAACACTGTCCACCTTTATCACACAACCACCACCAACAAAGAGCGCACGCTGGTTTCTGACACGCTATGGCTGAGCGATGTCGAGAGCATGAACTACCGGATATCAGGGCACGTCTTGAGCCCCGTAGGGTTGAGGAATTGATCTTTGGTCAACAGATGACACCAAATTCACACAGCTCCAAAAACTTTCTTGACCAAAGATAGAGTCATCCAAACAGCACACCAAATTTAACCAATCGGAATCACCATATTTTGTCTCCAACTGTCTCACCTGTTTCCGTTTCTTGCCTGAAACAAAATTTGGGTCAAAAACGATTCGCCAAGTCGTCTGACTAAGAGCCTGGATCAATTGTTCTCCTTTCCAAGGTTTGGTCAAACCGTCAGCTAATTCCTGATCTCCAGACACCCAGCGACACCTGACATTCGCCTGATTGAGGCGCTCGTGAATCCCTAAAACTTCGATTGAAGTTCGCCGTTCCTCCATTTGCAATCCACAGGTCTGCACACGTTCGAGGGCATCATAAACATTCTTGGCATCACTTAAGATGCATGACTCCTCTGAAGCTAGAATCTTGTCAGGATTTCTGAGGTCAAGGGTGTCTCATGAGGTAGACAAACAGCTTGATAAACTCATGTTCATCAAGTCCATTTCCTGTCATTTGCACCTGTGCACTCGTTGAGGACCGGGCGATTCGTCGAAGTCTTCGACTTGTCCAGCTCAACACAGAAAAGTGACTGAGTTTTCCACACATGGTATCTCTATTCATAAAAACAGTCAAAGCACCTCCCTGACTACTTCCGTCTTTCCTCGTAGCCCATGAGGCATCACAGAAAGTGACTATCAAGTTGTCTTGTACCTGGTGAGGAAAAATCAGCTTCACATGACTGTGCCTACGTTGCCATCTAATGGCTTTGTTCGTTTCCATCAAGTCGTGAACGGTTGCTGTCTCCACACATCCTTGAAGGTGAGAAACTGTAGAAAGCAACCAAGGACTCGTTTGAACTGCTCTCCAATTCAAAGCTCCCAAAGCTCTCCTCATTTCGGATTTCTCTGCGGCTGTCGCAAGATCATGTTTCATGTCTTTTCGTGAACGCTCTAAATTAATCTCATCAATTGATAATGCAAAACGTTCTTGATTCAGCCAAATGTCAAAATCTGCCGTTTGAAAAACGTCGCATCCACAAAATTTGACACTTTTGTCCTGTGCACAGTCCTAGCTTCCAAAAGGAAAGGAATCCCGAAGTCGTCTCACTTGTTCTTCAAAGTAGACCCCAGCGCCTGCCACTACCAGGTCGTCTACGTGTGCACCTAAGTATCCACAAATCTCCTGAGTCGCCGGATCTGTCAGGATGAAGACGCACTGATCCAGTTGATGCGATTGCCAGTGTTGGCTCAACAAGGTAGCTTGAAGCTTCTCAAACCATTTCCGTGGAGCATGGCATAGCCCGTAAACGGCTTTAGCGACTCTCCAAAGCTCATGAGGTTTCATGTTCAAGTACTGTTTGACTTCTTCCGGAGGTTCAGCCCAAATGTTTCGTTCAAGTTCCGTTTGGTCTCCATTGAGATATGCCGTTTTTATGTCTCCTAGATAGACCTTGAACCTTCTTTGAGCTGCAAGCGACAGAATAGTGTTTCGTCCCAATGTACTCAACGTGGCCGCTTCCCGAGGCACCGACAAGAGTTCCGGATCCTGATAACCCTTCAAAATGAGACGAGCTTTAGCTTTTCTACCAACTTCTACACCATGTTCATCTTGAATAGGTTTCCACACTAAAACCCAACGCGTGCCAAGAATTCTCTCACGTGGAATGCCAGCACTTGCACAAATCTCAACGGCACTGTTTGAAGTGAAAGAATCTACTTCATTACCCATGGCCTTTTCAAATTCTTTTCGATCTTCCTCACTCAACTTCCGAAGATTGACTTCAACGTTTCGTTTGGCCTTTTGATTCAACACCCAAATACCTCTCTTACAGTGAACATCTCGTGCTGAAACACACAAATGAATTTCAACAGTGTGTGTCGTTTCCACTGCCCTTGCAAACAGAATGTCCATCTTTTCACTGCCGTCTTCTGGTATGGTCGAAAGTTGGACAGGCCCTGAGAGATCTGTACTCTCTTCCTGTCTTATATTTCGTGGATCCCGATGTGGGGTCCGACTCCGATGTCTCTGTTGATCGGATCTTCCTACCCGATGTTCAACTTCTCGGCGATCTGCAACAGCACTGCCTCCATTTGTCCCATGCGCTGTTTCAGCGCGTTGGTCTCTTCCTGCAGTTGAATCATCTCGTGGGAAGGTTCCTCCATCGTCACGGTCCACTCCTTGTCTAAGTCTCCCCTCTCGATCTTCTCTTCGAGCAAGGCTTCCACTCCCCCACGTTTCTTGGTGTTCCCGGTCACCATCTGAGGGTCGCCTTTTGTGCCCCCGTATCCTGCTGCTGTCTCCATCTGTTGAACCAACGCTTTGGTGCGGCGGTTCAGGAATTCCACAAACATCTGCATCGTTGGATTGCTCTTCTCCGGGTTCACATGGCTGGCTACCCATTCGGCGTATCCCGGTTGAGCTGCTGCTTCCTCGAATGTCAGTCCCTTGTGCTTGCCGAAGTCGATCTTCATGTTCTTGAGTTCGATCAGTGGCATGGTCTTGGCCTTCTCGACCAGGTCCTTGCCGCTCGCATGACTTGTCAAGCGCTTCAGTTTGTCCAGGTTCTCCTTGAGGCTCAACTCTGGCTTGCTTGAAGCGCTCATGGCTTTCACCAAAATCAGGTGGTCTAGGATCCGGGGGACTGTCTACGTCGAGAGATCTCTTGCCTTGACACCGAAATCTCGGAACATTCATGTCAGGTGACACGTCAGGCACATCAGCATTTTCTTCAATCAAATCATGAAACTTTTGCTGACGTCTCAAAGTCTTGTACATGGTTTCAAAAACAGATGCCCCGTTTATTTGCATGTCAATCTGCTGAACATCATGTGTAACGGGTCGCAGCTGTTCCGGTGAACATCTCAAAAGAAAACCAGCATGACTCACCCACACAATTGATCCAGGGTGATTCGTGAGGTGTTGTTCAGATGTTTTCTCATGACACAAAACTCTTCCCGGCCCATGCCATCGACCTGCCACTCTAGTGCCTTCTTTACGATCTCTACGATAGTAATAGACCAATTGACCCATTGAATACTCTCTGAGTGGCCTACTTTGTCCGCGCAATGCTCTTTGCAGCCGTCGCTGTGCATCTGCCTCAATGAAGAGTTTCCTGGCTGCAGCTTCCTTTTTCAAGCTGGCCTCGAAATCAAGATCTTCACGTTGGCTGTCCCAAGGAAGGTGTCCGTCGAAACGGAGAAAGGAACTAATTCTCCCATGGTTGGCACCAAATTGCCATTGATTCGGAGTATAGCCCTTGATATTGTGAACCTCGTTTTTCGCCATGACAGCCAGGCTCAACAGTTCTTTGGCATCCGTCTCGGCACCCAACTCATAAGCCAACAAATTAGCATTTTCTTTCAAAACCTGCAGGTGTCGGGAATGTTTTCCCATCTGCCATGCGCTTTCGCCACCAATAGGTTCCATCTTAATCCCCAAACCTTCCAACCAACTGATCAACCCAAAACCTCTCATGTAGCCTTCTTCATCATATCTCATCTTTTGGGGGATCGGGAACCGTTTCACCCAACCTTCCAAAAACCCTTCTTTGAATTCCTTCCCAGAAATCACATGTTGGGGTTGTTTACCTTGACGCACCACCACAATCGTGTGATAATCAGTAGCTTCGTCAAACAAGGAGATACCCACCACATGTTGTCCATCTTGGCCTGGGGACAGGAGTTCTTTGGGAACATGCCACCAGAAAGTGTCCATGCTGATGCACTCCCACTTGTCTCGAATGGGGGGTGGCGTCGCTGGATGACAGGTTGCCCGTCTTCCTCGCTGTAGGCAATGGTCGCACCTGAACAGAGCCACCTGTTTCAAGACAGCTGGTGAAGCACCTGCATCTTTAAACATTCGCTGCATAACTTGGGGGTTGGGGTGTCCCAAGTTTCGATGAATGAGGCTGATCTGATTCATGGTACGTGAATCTTCTTCAATGATCATGTCCTCTTCATGCAA